TGGCCACACTGGAGACTGGAAACTGAGAGGCAGACACCAGAGTAAGAGCATTGGATGCCAGGTGAATTGTTCTCTTCTCTTAGGCCTTGGGCAACTAGAGGGACAAAATCCCTAACACCCACATGCAAGGAGGATCAACTTTATTTTGGCTTATGTTTTCAGAGGGGCCAGTCCATGATCAAACCCCCAAGGCAGGACCATGATGGCACGAGGTCCTGGTAGAGCAAAACTGCTCAGGATGTAGTGAGCTGAAGCAGAGCACAGGAAAGACGGCAAGTGAGCGCTCCACCCTCCACAGGCACCCAGTGACCTCCAGTGGCGGAGCCAGCTCCTGCTCACACAGGCAGCTGTGAACATCACAGGACTAACCCAGCAGTACCTCTATCTCCTCCATGATCTAAGCACTGCAGGGGGCTCTTCATCTGGTGAAACTGACAAGATTAACTGGCATCTCTAGTCTACCACTCTTCTTTCCTGATCATACCACACATTTCCTTGAATCCTCCTGATCTTGGCCTTCTCTAGGCCTTTGCCCTGTACCCCTAGAATGTCCTTCTCTTTCTATCTCCTGTAAACTCCTACTCATCTGCTTATATCCTGCTCAACTTGTTGTCTTCTCCTGAAGCCCTTCCAAATCCCCCACCTGTTTTCCCAGGGCAGAAAATCCCCTTCTGTGGGTGCTGTCTTTGGCTCCTCATTCAATTCCCAGTTACTGACATGGCCTCTGCTAAGATGATCACTGTCCTGGAGGACTTGGAGACCTCAAGATGGCGGATTTGTGCTGATTTAGAATTGGCTGCTTATCAAAAGGTTGTCTGGGGGCTGGTGAGATGGCTCAGTGGTCTAAAGCACCTACTTAGAACAAGTTTAGCAAAGCCCAGGGACCGCGGTTCAATCCCCAGCACCACATGCCAGCCAGCCCCGCCCCCTGGTGGGCTGAGCTGGCCACACACACACACACAAATAAAATAAATAAAAAATAAAAAAAAAAAAAAGAGGTTGTCTGGGCTGAGTATGACCAACTGCATCATCTCTGGTGCAGCCTGGCCCTAGGTGGATGGGTTTTTGGAATAAGGACAAGATAGCATGAAGGCGTGGGAAGTGTCTAAGATGATCCCCCAATGTATTCCTTAGGTCAGATGATAGCTGTTCCCAGAGGCCAGTGGGAGGAAATGCCTCAGCCAGTCCCTGCTAGGACAGGGCTGTCACCACTCTGGAAATCCCTGTGTCACTGGGCCAGAGGCCAAGATCTGAACCTAAAGGAAAGTCCCCCAGTAAGGCGTTGCCACACAGCTCCCACAGAGGAGCAAGGCAGAGGTGTCATGCCAGGCTCACAGGAGAGGGTCACCAACCTCCAATCCCTACCTCACATGGGCCTTTCACAGGAGGGCAGGGCTGGAGTTGGCAGAACCCTGGAAGAGGAAGGAAACAAGAAACAATTAAGGAAGAAGCCATCTAGGCCTGGGGTGGCCTCAGGCCATGGGCCCTACAGGCCTCACTCTGCCTGGGACTCTGGGGCTGTTGCCAGCTCAGTGTCTCCTGTGATCCCACTTGGTGTGTATGTGTGTGTGTGGGGGGTTATGGAATGGGGCTCCCCTGGAGAATCCTATCTTTTCTCAGTGCTTCCTTTAGGTCACCATGCTTCCCCTGTGACTCTGTTCCCAGATCCCCATCAGCCCATCTACTGCCCAAGGTCCACATCCCCAGATAGCTAGCAGGTAGAGGAAAGCTGCTGAATCCATAGTGAGGAGGGGGCTGCCCTGCTGGTCTCTCCCTTCCAGCCAGCCTTGGCGGGGAGGTTTCCATCCCAGTACCCAGGGCCCTTAGCTGCTCTGGCCACTGACAAGGGCAATTTCCAGGAAGAAGGAGCCAGAGGGAAGGAAAGGCTGAGTCAGGCTCCATGTGGTGATCAGAGTGGAGGAGGGAGTTGGGGGCCCATCCCAGGGCCAGGAGATTCCGGGCTGAGGACAAAGAAGCCAAACACCCTCTCTGGTGTTTCTGTAGCCTGGCCTTCCCTATCTTTCCCAGTGTCCTTCTGGGTCTGGCTCCTCAGGTGCCAGGATGTCCAGGAGCTGTTCTGGGGGACAGTGCAGGTTCCACCTGAGGCATCAGACCACAACATGTGTCCAGATTGAGGGGAGCCCTTGTCTGGGTGGTTTTTTGCGGGTCAAAAATGCAGGCCAACCAGTCTCAGGATATCCAATTGTAAGCTGGGAGTGGTGGAACATTCCTGTAATATCAGCACTCTTGGTGGCAAAGGCAATAAGATCCCAAGGTACCCAGCCTGCAAATTTAGTGCTTTAGCCAGACCCTGTCTCAAAATTTTAAAAAATGGAAAAGGGCTGGTGGTATAGTTCAATGTGAAGGCCTTGGGTTGCATTTTCAGTTAAAAAAAAAAAATCCAGTTGTAGTAACTTAAACCCCATTTCACAAATGCTTTTCTGTAGGGCTCCCACAGCCGTGCTGATATATGTACAAAGCTCCCAGACATTCAGCAGAGCCTCCCCAGGGGCCCAGTGGCCCTGCCAAGTGACAACTCGACAACTTGTGTGGGAATGGCGAGAAGGAAGTGAGCATTTGCTAAGGCCACGCCTGAACCACTCCCAGGCATGGGCTCAGTCAGTGCCAGCCACAGATGACGGGTCAATGACAATAAGCGCAGTCCCAGTAGCAAGCAGGGCTGGCCCTGGGAAGAACATTGTTATAGCCACAGGCACTGAAAATGGTACCTGGAGGGCAGATGGCAGTTCTAGTCCTGGCCATGGAGCCAGACCTGGGAAAGAAAGCAGGAGTGCGGCCAGGCTTAGGCCTCTGCAGCTGTGGACCCCACAGGGGCCCCTATTACTCACCCACCCAGAACCTCTGCAAAGAGCTCTGGGTGGTTCCCAGTTGTGTGGCCTTGGCCAGAAGCCTATGCCTCCCCAGCCTTCCATCCCTGTGACTTTCTGTGTTGTCACCAGCTCTGAATGGAGTTCCTGACACCCTCTCTCTTAAGGATTCTATCAATTCCTGAAGACGAGAGTGGTGCTTCATCTCACTTCTGCAGGCTCAGGTGACTTCATCAGAGTCATTCTAGGTCAGGCAGCAAGGCCAGGTCTCTGTTCCTGGGGCTCCTGTTGCAATGTTTCATGAACCACACTGCTGGTGAGACCTTGTGTTCCCATTAACAAAGTGCATGGAAGATCCTTGTCTTGCTCAGGACTCGGATGACCTGATGCTGCACCTGCTTTTGTAAGCAAGGTGGCTCAGAAAGGAAAGGTTGGGGCTGGGGAGATGGCTCAGTGGAATAAGCACTTCCCTGGCAAGCACAAGGGCCTGAGTTCAAATCCCTGGTTCCGAAAAAAAAGAAAGAAAGAAAGAAAGAAAGAAAGAAAGAAAGAAAGAAAGAAAGAAAGAAAGAAAGAGTTGTTTGCCTATGGTCCATCAGGAGAGCCAGCTCAGGACCTGGCGCATGGCCCGAGGCTCCAAGGCGGGTCCCTCCTTTTCCAGGGTCTGCTGTTGGAGAGGGGTGCAGAGATGACAACAGCTAAGTGAGGAGGATGTAAAAGGAGGGAACCTGGGCCCTCACGCATGCCACTCTCAGCTGAGCACGTTCCTGTCAGTGCCTTGAGCCTCAGTTTCTATCTTTCTAAAATGAGGATAATGATTTGGGCTCTGCCCACCTCACCAAGGCTTCAGGAGGGTCTGTGGAGGTGCAGAGACAGGAGTGACAGGAAGAAGGCTTAGGGAGGCAACCTCGGGGAGGTACACCCTTCTCCACGGACTTGGTCTGTCTCCTGCTCCTATGACACAACACCACAGACTGGGTACTGTGTGATGTGCAGAAGTTTATTTAGGTCACACTTTTGGAGTCTGGGATGTCTCAGGGCATAGTACTAGCCAGAGAGAGAGAAGCAGAAAGAAAGATCATATCCTAAAGCCCTTTCATAATTGGCACTAAAGGACTGAGGAGAAATAATCCTCATCACCTAACATATCCGCTAAGCCCCACCCCCGGCACTGTTGTCTCAAAATTTAAGTTTCAGCACATGTTTTTTGAGGGAATGCAATCAAATTGGAGCACCTCCCCCAAGCCCCACAACTTGGTCCAGGGTCATCATCCCCTCTCCCTGGGCTGCCCAGGCCTCAGTTTCCCCAGAAACCAAGTAAGGCCAGGTAGAATCTACCTGACCAGTCCTCCCTGGAGAGTTGTGGAAAAGAATAGGGCAGGTTCAAGATTAAAATCTGAAACAATTTCCTTGCATTCATTTTCCATTGCTGCTGGAGCGAATTAACACAAACTGGGTGGTTTAAGCAACACAAAGTCATTATCAGAAGATCAATGGGGGTCACACTGGGTCAAGATCAAGGTGTCAGCAGGGCTATGTTTCTTCTCGAGGCTTAGGGGAGATTCTACTTCCTGGCTTGGTCCAGTTTAGAGAAGATACAGGGATTCCTTGACCTGTGACTCCTCCCTCCATCTCTAAAGACAAGAGCACAGTATCTTCTCTCTGGAACTTTCCAAAAAGTATCTCTCTCACTTTCTCTCCCCACACTTCCAGAGAATTAAACTTGAGCCCTTTGCACTGAACTATATCCTTAGTCCTTTGTTCTTTTTTTTTTTTAATTTGAGACAGGGTCTAGCTAAGTCACAAGGTTGCTGGGCTCACTTTGTCCTCCTGCTCAGCCTTCTGGGTATTGGGGATTATAGACATACACTACTGAGTCTGACTCCTCTTCTACTTTTGTGGGCCCTGAATAATACATTGGGCTCATCCAGAAGCTTCTGGATAATCTCTGACCAGATTAAAACTACAACAGCAATCCTGAATCCCCTTTTCTTTTTCTTTTCTTTTTTTTCTTTTCTTTTTTCTTTTCTTTTTTTTTTTTTTTGGTGGAACCGGGGATTGAACTCAGCCCCTTGTGCTTGCCAGGAAAGTGCTTATTCTACTGAGCCATCTCCCCGGCCCCATGAATCCCCTTTTCCATGTAACAAAACATTCACAGGTCTGAAGATTACAGTATGGACATCTTGGAGGGAGGCATCATTCTACTACTTTGATCCTTCTCATTCTTCTCACCCCTCCAGTTAGGGTGGTATCTACCCCACTTCAGCATCCTTCCCTCATGTAGGATCACTTCTAAGACATGCTTACCTACAGACCCTATAACCAAGCATCCTGGTCACACTGTACCTTTTTTTTTTTTTTTTTGTATCTTCATATCCTCATTCTTTAGAGAGAAGTTACTGGGGATCAAATCCAGGCCTACACCCGCAGCTTTACATTGCAAGCTGCCAGCCATCATGCCCTGGAACATGAAGTCTCCTGGCCTCATCGATATCTACTTCCTTTGCCTCACTCTTCTTAGCTCTTAGCCACCTGAGTGCGCTTGGAACCCTAGTACTATGTGACTGCTGGCAAGAATGGGTCTGAGCAGGAGCCTCACCTCTGCTCCGGAAGGCACCTACCTAGCTTCACGGCAGACTTGCATGCTCAGCCCCCCACCCCACCCTGAGGAGGAGTGTGAGCTCTCCAAAGAGCTCCTGAATTTGTAAGATTTTAACATAGGCGCTTCCATGACACCATTCCTGGAGAAGTCACTGAATATACTTGTGCGGGAGCCTGCACCGACCCAGTGCTTTATGGGCAGGACAGATCCAATGATGCTTAATGAATTGTGAAGAATTCGGTGTTCTGGCTGCTGCTCCCAGGCTCCTCTAGAGCTGAGGGCTTTGGTTCCGATTCCCACTGCTGGAGTCCCCAGAGTTCTTCCTGTAGCCAGACCGCGACACGCCGCAGCCACCTGGTACAGAGACTGATCTCTGAGCAAGCTAAGCCGCTGCAAAAAAGGAGCCTGGGCGTGTCCGGGGCCGGGCTGGGCGGTGGGAGGTGTCCGTCCGGGACGGCTCCTCCATTGGCTCCGCGGGGCAGGGGCGGGGCTTCAAGGCCTAGGTCCGCAATGTAAGTTCACAGCTCGGGTCGCGTCCCACTGCCGCGCTGTTCTGCTCCTGAGCTTCTGTGTCTGCTGGTCGATTGTCTGCGACGAGCTTTACGGTAAGTTTAGGCCGAGATTCTTCAGCCTGCTTATGGCTCCACGGGGTCCCCAGAGAAGCCCACCTCGGGGGCAACCAATTCCAGCTAGCGCGCTGGCCGGGTCTCACCTTGGCGCACGTCCTTTCGCGGGCGCCTCGGGCTACGTGGGGAACCCACCATGCCTCGATCCACGCAGTCCCGCCCGTGACTCCCACGGCTTTGCGGCCCGTCGCGCTTCCCAGCCCGGAGCTCCAGAACTGGCCCTCTATTTCATACCCGCGTCCCTGCCCCATGCCCGGGAGCCAGGAGCGTTGTCCCGCCGCGCAGTGTGCCAGCCTGGCTGAGGGCCGTATTTTTAGCTGGTAATGAGGTGTCCTCCTATCTTTAGCGATTGCTGCAGTGTCCTGAAACGAATCCGGGCTGGGCTGCGCCACAGCAGAGAATGGGGAGGGTGGGCGCCGGAACCCGAGCAGGGCTGAGGAGCCGGACGAGGGGGGGGGCAGGGCACGCCCGAGCTCTGGCTCTGAGCCGAGCGGACACTCGGACATCGCCCAAGCCGGGAAGCACGCGGAGGCTCCTCCCTGAGCTTGGAGACGGGGACAGGGTCCACCGTAGCCCCTTTTCCACCGATGTTTTTGGTTGTGCCATCAGTAACTCTCAAGGGAAAAGATCCCTTGGACGGTCCTCATCTGGTACCGGGACGCGCCGCTCCTCGAGGGGCGCCCGCCTGGAGCTCTGGGTGCGCTCTGAGGCTCCTCAGCGATGTAGGGCAATAGCGGGAGCACACGCCACCTAGCGGCTGAAGGGCCGGGAGCCTTCTGCATCCTGACCCTGGGAGACCCTGCGGCAGCGGAGTGGCCCCAACAGGTAGCACATGTACAGGCAGAACAAGGCGGGCGCGTGGAGCCAAGGAGGGCGGCTTATTTTTGGTTTCGTTGGACATGCTACGCCAGAGAAGCAATGTACCTGGAGGTACCTGGTGAATTTCCCTTTGACAGGAATGCCTGGGACTGCTGACCAAGGGGTCTATTGTGGCTCGGAGCACACACTGGAGGTGTATAGCAGTGGAGTCTCCAGCGGTCCTCTGGGGGCGGCTTTATAGAGGAGGAAGATGAGAGACCCAGAGAATGCCTTGCCAAAGTCACAGAGTCCTAAGTGGAGCTGGATTCAAAGCTGGTCTCTAGATTGCACATCCCAGGTGGGAAGTGGTGTTCCTCAGAGCAGGAGCAGCACAGCCTCCAGGAAGTCGCTCCTCAAGGGAGGCCCAGGGCTCCTTTCCAGGGCAGTTAGGATGATTCCCATCTGCTTCTCTCCCTGATGCTGGGAGCCACTCCTCCTGCCACCAACAGCTTTGTCTCAATGAGAGCTCACCCTCCTCCCTTGACACGAGCAAGTTATCGGGGAGGGGCCCCAGTGTTTTCTTTCCTGGCTCAACCAGATTACTAGTTGGCAAGGTATATACTACTTCAGACCTGCACGAACCAGGCTGGGTACCAGTGCCCGCTTTGCTAGTTGGAGGATCTTGCAAAGTTCCCTAGCATCTCTGAGGTTCAGCTCCAGGCACTGTACAAGGCAGTAATGACACCCAGGGCCATGTGGCTGGCCGCCTTGACATGGGAAATTGCATGGTGAGCTGAAGCTGGGGTCTGTGGTTGCCAAATCTAAATACTTGGGGCTTACTGGCTGTAATTCCCAACTCTCCCCTGGGCCATTGATGCTGGCTCCACCCTTCCCCTTAGCCTTGGTTCTCCCCACATCTGGAATTGGGCGGGTACATCTGGCTCTGAGTGAGACAGCTGTCAGGGAGTCCAGTTTGCTGTGGAAACACTCAAGCTGTCCTGGGGCTCCAGCAGGATAGGGTGGAGGAAGAGCCTTTCCCGGTTTGTAGCAAACACTGCCAACGAGCCACACTGTTCCTAAGTAAAAAAGGATACAAAGCTATACCAGGACATCTCACTAGATGGGGGACAGATTGAATATTTGTTTGCATGCCCCTGGCCCTGCCATGAAGGACACAGGATAAATGAGTGATGGGATTCTAAGATCTCAGGAGGCCTACTGCTTCCCTTCCCTGAAGCTCCTTGTAAATTTCGCTGGAATGCACAACTGGAGAGTTCCCTTGTGTCCTGTCACGCCGCAGGTGCTCTAGAAGCAGGATGTCTAGCCTTGGAGAGACTTGCCATGACTGACTTGGGTGTCTCCTCTGGGGTGAGATTTCCTGAGCAAGAGCCTTTTCCAGGAGATGGGGGTGGACTCGGCCCCTCCCTCATTTTCCTTCCTCCTTCCTGCCCCTTCTGCCCACCCTTCCCCCACCCAGGATGAAGAAGGAGGGGGAGGAACTGGCAGATGTCTCCTTTGCTTGGCTCCTGGCCAGCCTTTGGGGTGGGGACAGTGGGAAAGGGGGGGCCCATCTGGCTTGAATGCTGGCCCTGCCCTCATCTGCTTGGTGACCTTGGACAAGTTTCTTTTTTTGCCTTTTAATACTGATTATACATCACAACCCCTGTGTATCTATATCAGGCCAGTCATGCCCTCCAAGCACCCCAGGAGACAGTGAATATTTGCACAATTTCCTTTTTGTTAACATAGTTTATTTATTTGTGCACATTAAAATATCTATTTCTCCTCACTATATAAATAGTATGTGTGTATGAATAATGCACACTTATTAAGAAGTTGAGCCAGGTGTAGGAGTGCACGCCTATAATTTGATCTGCAAATATGAGCCCAACCTGGTCAATTTAGTGAGACTTTCTCTCAAAATAAAAAATAAAAGAGGGGTGTAGTGGCGCACACTTGTAATCCCAGCACTCAGGAGGGTGAGGCAGGAGGATTGCTATGAGTTTAAGGCCAACCTGGGCTCCATAGTGAATTCAAGACTTGGCTGAACTACATAGAAAGACCCTGTCTCAAAAAATAAAAAAATAAGAGCTGAGTGAGGATGTAGCTCAGTGTGAAGGTCAAGGTCTGAACAAAAGAGGAAAAGCCAACCTGAATTTGTACCACCTTGATAAACCAGGTGTGGTGGCACATGCTTTTAATCCTAGTACTCTGGAGGCTGAGGCAGGAAGATTACTGAGTTTGAGGCTAGCCTGGGATAGTTAGCAAGACTCTAGCTTGAGAAAAAAGTCTTCTCTACCACCTTGAAATAACCATGTCATGGGCTGGTGAGATGGCTCAGTGGTCTAAAGCACCTACTTAGAACACGCTTAGCAAAGCACAGGGACCTCGGTTCAATCCCCCAGCACCACGTGCCAGCCAGCCCCGCCCCCTGGTGGGCTGAGCTGGCCACCCACCCACCCACACACACACACACACAGAAATAACAATGTCAGCTTTGGACAAACACCCCTTCATATTTCCATGTACTACATACACATGTTATATAGTACTAGAACCAAGTGTTACTGATCACTTTGAGGACACTTTTCCTTCTATGTCAGTGACTATATGTATCCTTCCTGCCCCCCACCCCAACCAAAGTAGTCCATATACAGCCTCATGCTGGCTCCTGATTCTTCTGTGTATAGGACAGAATCCTACACAGACCCACGTGTAAGTACTTACACATGCATACTCAGGGAGATGGGAAAGGGAAGGGGGTTGATGTGTCTATAAACACCTCTGCCATGTTTTTGCATTTTGTTTCTCTCTGCCATGCCTCATGGGAGTCCTCCAAATTGTGTCTGATACGCAGGTTGAGAGAAGTAGGGAGAAATCCCAAGGCCTTGTCCAGACTGGGTAAGCACTCTTCCACTGAGATCTACCCCCATTTTGATACTTATTTATTTATTCATTGTCTTTTTGAGGCAGGGTCTTGCTGTACAGTTCAGGCTGGCCTTGAGCTTACTTTGTAGCCCAAGCTGGTCTTGACCTTGTGATGATCCTCCTACCTCAGCCTCCCAAGTGCTGAGATTACAGGCATGCACCACCATACCCAGCAATATCTTTAATTTTTAAGTGAGGATGATACAGAGGTGGTTGTGATAACTAATAGAGATGTGTTTGCATCTCTTAGAATGCTAAGTACAGAGGCCTCTCTAAAAATATTTACACTAATAGTGGGGTGTGGCAACACTAGCACACTGGGTGGCTGAGGAAGATCACAAGTTCCAGCTTAGGCAAGGGAAGTTAACAACTTAATGAGATTCTTTCTCAAAATAAAAAATAACAAAAGGGTTGAACAGGGTATGGTGGTACATGCCTGTAATCCCAGCACTCAGGAGGCTGAGGCAAAAGGATTATTGCAAGTTTGAAGCCAGCATGGGCTACAGAGTGAGCTCAAGACTAGCCTCAACTCTATAGCCAGGACCCTGTCTCAAAAAGACAAAAAAAAAAAAAAAAAAGTTTGAGGTCAAAGCTCAAGGCATAGGCTCTCTGGATTAAGTCCCCAGTTACTGCAAAAAATGTGTTTTACATTCATTCTATCATCTCTTTAAATGCTGTGGCAGGGAAGAGGACAAGAAACCACATTAGGCTCAGCCCTTTCCCAGAAGATCTGACCCAGAAGAGAAAAGGGAAATTCCCAGGTGACCTCACCTGCTGGAGCGCGTGGGGGATGACAGCCATTCATCACTGTTGGCAGAAGACCTGCTGCTTGTCCAGTCCTATGCCAGACCTGGGTTGGGGTGCTGCAATCATCTGGGAGTCCCCTACCCCATGGCACTTAGCATGTCAAGAGGCACAGTGGGTGTGCAGTGGAGGGCAGGGAGGGCAAGGTGCACTACAACCAGTCCTTGGTTTGTGACCTCAGCTTCTCCACAGGTGATGGAAGGGGCATGTACCACTGCTCTACTCTAAGATGCTGTGGGTCCCATAGGAAATGCTTCTTTTGGGGTCTTCCCTCAAACACAGTAGCCCCAGCTGGGCTCCCAGGATGGATACAGAGGGACCAGAAATGTGACAGTTGCTTCTGACTTTTGTCCTCCTGTTCCTGATTTACATATCCTTTTGTTTCAGCTCCAAAGCCCTGGACCAGGTTGAGAATCCCAGGACAAGACCAAAGCTCATTGCTCCCAACAAGATCTCTAGTTCTTCTGCCTTCAATTTTTAGAAGAGGATTTTCAACTCTGGAGAGAAAACAATTTCTGTTATCTCAACTCCTGACTTTGTTGGCCTTTGACGTTCCTTTTCCTAATTCCCTGGTCACATCTCACACTCCAGTCTTTAGGGCTCTGGCAAGTGTTTGGTGTCTGAAAACCATCGGCTTGAAGCCAGTGTTTCAGGTTCAGGGCATTAAGCAGAGGCTGTGTGAACAGTGAGCTGGGCAGCCAGGCCTGATTGGTGAGATTACCATGTCCACCAAGGTCCCCATTTATCTGAAGCGCAGCAGCCGCAAGGGCAAAAAGGAGAAGCTACGGGACTTGCTGTCCTCTGACATGATCAGCCCACCACTTGGGGACTTTCGCCACACCATTCACATTGGCAGTGGTGGTGGCAGTGACATGTTTGGAGACATATCTTTCCTGCAGGGCAAGTTTCACCTCTTACCAGGAACAACCATAGAGGAGTCAGAGGAGGATGGCAGCTTCGACCTCCCCTTCCAATTCACCCGGACTGCCACCATATGCAGACAGGAGCTCCCTGATGGGCCCTCGCCTCTGCTTAAGAATGCCATCTCCCTCCCTGTCATTGGTGGGCCACAAGCCCTCACTCTGCCCACAGCTCAAGCTCCACCCAAACCCCCTCGCCTGCACTTAGAGACACCCCAGTCTTCCCCGCGGCCTTCCCCACAAGAGGCAGGAAGCGTGGACATCTGGAGGATTCCAGAAGCTGGCTCATCCCACAATGGGCTGACCCCAGAGTCAGAAGCTGAGGAGCCCTTCCTGTCCCATGCCAGCTCATTGCTTTCCCTGCATGTGGACTTGGGGCCCTCCATTCTGGACGATGTTCTCCAGATCATGGATCAGGACCTGGACCGCATGCAGATCCCCACATAGAACCCTGGGCTGACCATGCAGGGTGCCCAGGCTGGGTGACACTGGGAAGCAGGGTGTGGACACGGTCCACCAATGGCCACTGGCCAGTGATTCTTTGAGCCTTTCCTTCCTTCTTCTCTCTCCCCTTGGGAACAATGTGCCTCATTGATTTCCATTAACAACCTGCCAAGGATATGCGTAGAAGTCAGCCCCTTCCCCCCACGTGTCCTGCCATTCTTCACATGACTAGGGGATTCTAGTTACAATAAAACATGCTGCTGCCAGTGGCCAAGCAGCTGGTGCCCATGTTCCAGGCTCTCCCAAAGATGAGTCAGTTTCAGAGAGCTGTGGGCTCAGCAGGGTGAGCCTCACCCCAGAGGGAATGGTAAGGTCAGTCCCTCCCTTCAGCAGAGTTCTACCTGCTTCTCAGTCTGTGGAGAGAATGAAGCAGGAACAAATCAAGGGTCCATTGTGGATATGTGGGCACTGTTCGGGTATCTGTCAAGAGGAGTCCTTGCCCTGGTGGCTAGGGTCTGCCCTGGGAGAGACAAGAGTGACTATATATATATATAGCCACAAGCCTCATGTGAAGAACCAACAGCTTGTCCAGCTCCAGGGGGCTGAGAGCACATGGAAGGAGGGATAGGCTCAGCCTGAGAGGGCTTGGGCAGCACTGACCAGTAGACTCCCCCATTAGCAGCTGTTTGTTGAATACCTACAGTCTACTTGACATGGCCCAGGGATGGGGATGCAAGGCATTGTGATCTCTGCTGTCTTGGGGCTCACATTCTAGTGGAGAAAGGGATATCATGTGTATATACAAGTAAGAGAGAATTCCCAGCCTGCTGAATGCAGGAAGAAAACAATGCAACCAGAAGGCTTGGGGAAAGGGGTGCCCCAGCTGAGGCAGTGGTTTCAGGGCACACCAGAATAGATGTGATTGGAGCCAACAGAGTGGTATAAGCAAAGGTACTGAGGACCAGAAGTGAATGACGGAACAGCCAACGTGAGAGAAAGTATAGAGCATGGACCTCTGATTCAATCTAGACTGAGACTGCTTCTCTACCTCTCACTGGAATCAGTGATACCTACCTTGCAGGATAGTTAGGGATAACTGTGATTAATTCCACATGGAAGATTAAAAAGTGGTTATGACTTGAGACACAAGAACTTGAGCCTTAGAAGGCAGGACTGTGAAGCTAGAAAACTGGTTGGTGTCAGCCTGAGAAATTTCACTGTTTACAAGGCTGAAGCTGGTGAATTTGAGACCAGGGAGACACAGTCAGTTTAGAATGTCATCATCTGGCTGAATGGAAGATGAAGGCAGCCACTGCAGGCACGGGGAGGGGGACAGAGTTGACCAGGATATGGCAAGATGGGCAGAGCTCCTGCTACCATACATTCAAGTTGCAGTGGCCCTTTTCTTGCTCTCTTGACCCTTACCTGTCCTTGGGATCCCCGAGTTCCAGAATCTCCCCTCCCCATTTGCCTCTGGGAAGGGATTTCATAGGGAGGCACAAGTTGAACAGGTAATACATTTTTAAAGAATGTATGTGTGATGTACATAATATAAAATCTACCAAGTTTTGTTTGTTTTGTGGTATTAGGGACTGAACCCAGGGTCTTGTGCATGCTAGACACAGGCTCCACCACGTGAGTCTCCAGCCACTCGGATCTACCATTTTAAGTGTACTTTTCAGCAGCATCAGGTATACGTCCGTTATTTGGCAACCATTACCACCATCCATTTCCAGAATGTCTTCCCAAACAAACTGCCCCAGGACATACTAACTCCTCATTTTGCTCCCCACCACCTGGCAACCCCATTCTGCTCTTGTCTCTGAATCTGACTACTCCACTTCCTGTAAGTGGGATCACAGCATTTGTGTTGTTGGGAATGATTTATTTCAATTAGCATTAAGTCTTTAAAGTCCTGGGTATAGCATATGGCAGAATTCCCCTCTTTTAAGGTTAATATTCTACTGTGTGGCCCCCTCATTGCTTTTGCTGTCTTCCATCATCACTGTGAACTGTTTCTCCTTTGTGAAGCCACCCAACGTTGGAGCCAGCCTGAACTGAAATTTCTACAAACTGTGAGCTAAATAAACTTTTCCCACTTAAAAAAAGAAAAAAAATTGTTTAATTAGGTCAGATTTTGTTTATCTGTCCTCTGATGAATGCCTGGATTGCTTCTATCTTTTAGCTATTGTGAATGGTGGTGCTATGAGCATGGGTATGTATGTACAAATCTGTTCAAGACTGCTTTTAGTTCTTCAGGGATATACCCAGAACTGCTGAATAACATTGTAGTTCATTTTGCACTTTGTGAAGAACTGCCTATTGTTTCTCCTACTGCCTGCACCACTTTATATTCCTACCATGTTTTGGTTTTCATCTGAATGTTTTAATTTGAAGACTGGGAATTGCCCTATTTGGAATATATGTATGTCTGACCCCAGTGCTGGGGGACCCTGAAGCCTATACTTGACCTAAACTTCTGCCCTACTGGGCTTCAGCTTCAAGACCCTATGAAGTCTGAGAAGGCCAGGGTGGGGCAGTCGAAGGATGACATCCCACTCCTGCAGACCCTGGTGCTCTGGGAGGCCTGGTCCATTCTGTCTGAGAAGGGAAGATGACAGAAGAGCCTTCCTCAGAGCCCTGCCCAGCCAGGGAGCAGCGCCTTGCTGAGGACCAGAGCCCACACCTGGTTATTCCCCTACTTCTTCACCCACGTCACGACTCTTGCAGGCTGGGCTTCATGGCTTCACAAAGTTTCCTTTACATTAAGTGTTCAAGGAAGGCTTCCAAGACAAAATGATGACAGTTGGCCCAGACAGAAGGGATGAAAAATTGCAGGCACCAACATCAGAAAACATTTATTTGACATGAGTGCAATAAGTACATCCACTATAATGCATGACATAATGATTTATAAACATTCATATTAGATACAACCAAGCCCATTCTTCATCAAGTGTGTGTGTCTGTACTCTGGCCATTCGGGAATAAGTCTCCAGTTCATCTGTTTAAGGTGCCTGCTTGGTATTTATAAATACCTAATTATAATTTATATTATCATTTATTTAAGCATTAATGTCAATAATATTGTGTATATTTAATTATATATTAATATCATTTTGTAATTCAATATGTTTGCCTTGTGCTGCAACAGACACACTAAATGTGTTTATATGGCTGATCTTAATGGGTTTATTCTGGGGGTAGGGCTTATATTTCCAGTATCTTAAAAAATCATGCTAGGGCTTATTTTCCAGTCAAATCTCATTTTCACTGAAATATAGTATATAGCGAGACTTTGTCTCAAAAAAACAAGTCTGAGGCCATCCTAGGAACTTAGTGAGATCTCATCTTTAAAAAAAATAATAAATAAAAATAAAAAGAGCTCAGTGGGAAAGCAGTAGTAGTACAGGGGGAAAGATTCAATTTTTTTCAAAGGGAGACAACTGAAAGTATTGTTAATAAGCATATTCACTCTTTTTAAAAATTTCTTTTGTTTCTTTTTTTAAAAGCATTTATTATTATTATTATTATTATTATTATTATTATTATTATTATTTTTACATTTATTTATTGTGTGTGTGCATGTGTGTGTCCAGCTCAGCCCACCTGGGGGCGGGGCTGGCTGGCATGTGGTGCTGGGGGATTGAACCGCGGTCCCTGTGCTTTGCCAAGCTTGTTCCAAGTAGGTGCTTTAGACCACTGAGCCATCTCTCTAGCCCCGAGCATATTCACTCTTGAGCCCAGGAGCTCCAAATGACGTCCATCCCTCATGACATTCCCTTCCCAGTCTATCTCAATATTTTGGAACCTATGAACTATGGTTTAAAACCATGAGCCAGGTGTGGTGGCTACAATCCTAGCACTCAGGAGGCTGAGGCAGGAGGTTCGCTGTGAGTTTGAGACCAACTTGGGCTATATAGCAAGATCCTGTCTCAAAACAACAACAAAACCAAAAGTTAATAATCACAAATACCTATATAGACAAAATGGAGGGAAAATGGGCGGGGGAAATAGCTCAATGGCATAAGCGCTTTTCAAAAAGAACAAAGTTTTTGCAGTACTGGGGATCGAACTTGAGACCTTGCACTTGCCGGGCAGGCACTTATGCCACTGAGCTATCTCCCTGGCTCAGCTCAAGAAGAACAAAGTTTTAAAAAGAACAATTTTATTGGGTAGATTTTTCTTTTCAATAACCATCCATATATTTTTTTTTTTTTTTTTTTTGGTGGAACCAGGGATTGAACTCAGGCCCTTGCTCTTGCCAGGGAAGCACTTATTCCAGAGCTATCTCCCTGGCCCCCTTTTTTATCTTATTTTATTTTACTTTTGGATATACATTCATTTTGATCTAACAATTATTATCATTTTCCTCTCTGCATATAAATTGCTCCCTAGCCTTTTGATTGATTTTGATTTTTTTATGTATTTGGTACAGGGTCTCACTATGCAGCTCAGACTCATAGTGATCCTCCTGTTTTCAACCTCCCCAGCACCGGGATTATAGGCGTGCACTACAACACCTCATCTTGGTGGCTCAGGGCCCCTGGGGTCAGGCCTGTCATGGCACGTGCTTCCGGGATTGAACCCTGATCCCTGTGCTTCTCTAAGCAGGTGCTTAGCTCACTGAGCTCTCTTGCTGGCCCTCCCTGACCTTTTGAGAGCAAGTTCCAGAAATCATAACACTTCACATCAAATGCTTTAACACTTGTTATCTTATTAAATTTGTTTATTTTGAGACAGGGTTACAAGGTCTTGCTATGCAGTTCAGGCTGGCCTTGAGCTCACTTTGTAGCCCAGGTTGGTCTTGAACTCTCAACAATCCTCCTGCCATTTGTTTCTCAATAAAATTATGGAAAAAACCCCCAACAATCCTCCTGCCTCAGCCTCCCCAGTGATGGGATTACAGGTATGGGCCACTACACTCAGCTAAATTTTTAAAATTTTAGGGCACTGCCAAATAGGTCAGTGGATTAAAGCGCCTGCAAGCAGGGGCCAGGGATTCAATCTTTGGGCCTGCTGTGCCGGCCCCGCCCCTGGGGCGCACTGAGACAGCAATTGAGACTTGGCATGGTGGCGCGCGCCTGTAATACCAGCTCTAGGGAGTCTGTAAACAGGTGGATCAGTAGTGAGACCCTGAACACCCTGTAGACCCTTCCCTAAAATAAAAGTAAAAATAAAAATTAAATAATTAATTTGAGGCTGGGGAGATAGCTCTGTGGTCTAAACTCCTGCCTGGCAAGCACAAGGAGACAGGTTCAACCCCCAGAGCTGTATGCTGTGCCAGCCCAGCACTGAGCAAGACATTGAAAAAGGGCATAGTGGCACATGCTTATAATCCCAGCATGGCAGAGGCTGAGACAGGAGGATCACTGTGAGTCTGAGCTGTGTAAGACCCTCTACCAAATAAATAAATAATTTTTAAATAAATTAATTAAAAAAATCTTGAGTCAGGGTCTTGGTAAGTTGTTGAAGCTAGGCTTGAAGTTGCAATTTTTCTGATTCAGCCTCTCAAGTAGTCAGTATTACAGGCTTGCACTACCCTACCTGGCATCATAGTCTGTAAATTTGGGGACTTTTTTCCCCATACTATATTGAAGGCAACTTTTTCCTATCTTCTAGTACAGTTGTTCTATTTTCAGCTGTGTCCAACCAGCTTTTAACCCCCTTCATTTATGGTGTTCATTTTGGTTACTGTATTTTTATTTTTCAGTACATGAGATGGAACTCAGGACCTTGTGCTTGCCAGGCAGGTGCTTAAGCCTCTGAGCAATATCCCCAGTCCTGTTACTGTTTTTTTTTTTTTTGTTTTGTTTTGTTTTTTTCGTGATACTGGGGATTGAACTCAGGACCTTGAGCTTGCCAGGCAAGAGCCTATTCTAATGAACTACCTCCCCAGCCCTGTATTTTTTAATTCTAAAAGTTCTACCAAAATTTTCTGTAGAGCTCTTTAGTAATTATGTATTTTTTTACAGA